TTCTGGGGGGGGGGTGGGGGGTCCTCAAGCCCTGCCGCTCGTGGGACTCAGGGGGGGGCATCCCCTGGAAAGTGGGGGGTGAGCAGCACCCCCTGGGCTCCCCCCCTAAAAGCCGCGGGGGCTTCCCCCCGTTGTTGACAACCCATTATAGCCTCCAGACATGCCCAAATGTCGCCCAGGGACAGAACTGCCCACGGCTGAGATCCCCGTCTCTAGGCACAAGCTGGACACTTTCAACATGGATTTTTAAAAATTTTTTAAAATATTTTTTATTGATTTAAGAGAGTTAGGAAGAGAGAGAGGAAGCGACAGAAACACCAATGATGAGAGAGAATCACTGATCAGCTGCCTCCTGCACTGCCCCTACTGGGGATCGAGTCTGCAACCTGGGCATGTGCCCTGACCAGGATCGAATTGTGATTTCTAGTTCATGGGTCAAATGAAGCTCAACCTCTGAGCCATACCCATCAGGCAACATTGATTTCTTTCTATAAAAGATGAGACAGCCTGACCGGTTTGGCTCGGTAGATAGAGCGTCGGCCTGCGGACTGAAGGGTCCCAGATTCGATTCCGGTCAATGGCATGTACCTTAGTTGCGGGCACGTCCCCAGTGGGGAGTGTGCAGGAGGCAGCTGATCAATGTTTCTCTCTCATCAATGTTTCTGACTCTCTATCCCTCTCTCTTCCTCTCTGTAAAAAATCAATAAAATATATTAAAAAATAAAAGATGAGACACCCCTCTAGCTGGTTTGGCTCAGTGGATAAAGCATCGGCCTGCGGAATGAAGGGTCCTAGGTTCGATTCCGGTCAAGGGCACATGCCAAGGTTCTGGGCTCAATCCCCAGTGGGGGGCGTGCAGGAGGCAGCCGATCAATGATTCTCTCTCATCATTGATGTGTCTATCTCTCTCCCTCTCCCTTCTCTCTGAACTCAATAAAAATATATTTTAAAAAAAAGATGAGACACAGCCAGCATTCCGAGTGGCGAGTACTCACCGAGTCCCTGCCTCACTCTCTTTTTCATTTTAGAAGGGGCGTTAGAGGCCCAGAGCACTGCACATGTTCTGGTGACTCACCACATGCATTTCAAAATTTTTATTAGGCTGTCTCATCTTTTATAGAAAAGTCTAAACTGTAAAATAAGTCGAAGTCCATCAGAGTTCTGCTCTTTCCCATAAAGTCTGTTTTCATGGTGTTTTTTGGTTTGGTTTTGTTGCTTTGAGGATATAGAACATTCTTTTAAGTATTTGTCTCCCGCGTCTGGGGGCCAGGGAGCAGAGGCTGCCCCTGTTTTGTTTTCTCAATCCTCAGTCCAGGACTGCTTACTGCTTCTAGAGAGAGGGAAGGGAGACAGAGAGACCTGGGTGTGAGAGTGAAGCATCGACCGGTGCCTTCCCCTACACGCCCCCAGCGGGGGTCGAACCCATAACCTAGGTATATGCCTGACAGGAATTGAACCTGCGGCCCTGTGTGTGGGCCTGCGGGGAGCCGGGCTGAGGGTCCGAGCAGCACCGCCCCGGCCAGCCCGGTGTGCTCAGCTCTGTGTGCCCAGCCGAGGAGAGAGGCTCGAGGGCCAGGCGGACAGTCCTGCCGGCTGGGAGCCTGCAGATGGTGGCCGAGGCTCCAGGCCAGCCAGCAGCCCAGCCCTGGGGACGGAAGCGGAAGGAGGGAGCTGGGCCAACAGGGCAGGGGTCCCGGAGGGCATAGGGGACGCCCTGGGTGAGGGAGCCGGTGGTGGGAGTCACATGCCGCCTCACGGGATGGGAACAATACACCACTTGGGAAAGAACGCAGCACTGGGAACTGGGAATGTGTCACTATTTTGCCACGGGGCCATTGGGGTAAAATGTCCTCTCAATGCTTGAGAAAGTTCTAAGAATTCAGTCCGTGTTGCTCACCAGACTGGGGGCGGGAGTGGGGGGGGGGGAGACAAACAGCCCGAGGCACCGGCCGGGCCCTGGGAACCTCACAGGCCAGTCCCCAGGTCCGTGAGCTCGTAGCTCAAGTCCCAGGTCCACATCCCTCGGCACGGGCAGCCCTCTCCCGCAGAGGCACCACTGTGCCCCGCTCTACAAACAAGGGTAGCCAGATCCGGAGAAGCCCACGGAGGAGGGGAGCGGAGAGCCAGCCTTCCCCGGGATGCCCATGTGGGCGGGCGATACAGGGGGGCAGGGGGTAAAAGGCCCCAGGCGCCAGGTTTAGAAAGGAAGAAGCAAGCTTCTTTCATATGTGGAGCAGAGGGAGGAGGGCAGCTGCGGCACTGAAGAGGCTCACCCAGCGCTGGCTGCAGCGGCAGCAATGGGCAGCCAGGCCTCCCGGTTAGGGGTGGACTGGTCAAAGCGGACACCTCGACCCCCTCTGGGTCCCAGTGCCCTGGGCCAGCCTGTAAAGGTGGGAGGAACATGTCAGGTCCCGGCACCTTGGAGAGGGCCAGGGACTTTGTGTTGCCTGCAGAAGGGCCTGCTCAGCGGGAAGGAATGAACAGCGGCTCCCAGAGGCCTTCCCGGCCACAGAGGGGCGCCCTGGGGGGTCCCCACTCCAGACAAACCCACCTGAGAGGGCAGACCTCCCTCCTCTGACTGGACGGACAGAAAAGAACCAAAAACAGGGTCAGACGTGAGCAGAGTAGAAGTCCCTCAGCTACCCCTGCACCCCCGTCAGCTGCCTTGACTAAGGGAAGTGCCCCCTCCCCGCTCCCACCCCAGCCTTATCACAGCCACGGAAGCCCTGGCCTTCTGAGCAGGGACCCCCTGCAGGCACGGGCTGCAGAGTTCACGGTGGTGCATGCAGGAGCGCTACCTACCGCAGCCAGAACGTTCCCTGGGCCAGCGCGGGCTCGCTCCTGCAACCCCAGGTCTGGCAAGGAGGGGCCCGGCCAGTGGCTCTGCGGAGGGGCTGAGAACACGGCGGGGAACGGCCTGCCACAGGCCACAGCAGGTCACATTGTGACATCCAAACAAACAGCGGGGCCAGAGAGTCAAAGTCACATCGATCACAGTGAGATCCACAGCAGGGCGGGCGGCACGGGGTGGGCGGGGGCAGGGGGTGAGCCCCAGCAGGACCCTCCATCCCTGCAGAATGTATCCTCGGAGCCACAGCCCCTCCTGCCCCTCCCAGGGGAACCCACAGGCCCCTGGCATTCTCAGTGGATTCGGGCAACATTGGGTTAGAAGCCCTGTGCCTGGCACAGACTAGGAACAGATGTTTACACCCTTGCACCTCGCAGAAGTTGTGCACCAGCGCAGCATCGCGGCCTCATTTCCTACTCTCTACCCGGCTCAGAGGGTCTCTCTGGTCAGCCCACAGTACGGGCTGGAATCAGGGTGCTTCCACCCCCCGCACCCCCCCCCCGCACCCGCCCCCCCACACACAAACACACAAATAAAAAGCAGGGCTCCGAGACCAGTCTCAGCCTGGGGTTCCCTTTGGGGAAATGGGTTATGAGACTGTCCCCCCAAGTCTGCACAAGAGGGGAAGAGTGTGAAGTACAGTTCGAGGGCGCTTCTAGGGCCCAGGCGCTCTGCCCCTCCCCCTGTCTGCTTGATGCTAACACAGACCCCTCGCCTGTCTTTCCGGAGGGGCCCCCTGAGCACACCTGCAACCCCAGCGAAAGCAGGGGGGAGCCTGGAGGTCAGGCAAGCCCTGGACATCTCGGAAGGCAGGGCCTGTTGAAATGTCACACTGTGACAGTGGTCAGCTGCGGACACTTTCTGGAAAAACACTACCTTGAAGTGTCCCTAAATCCCACGATAAAAGGAGGCGGCCAGCAGCTGCCCCAGGCCCCTGAGTCTGTAACTCCCTCAGGACAGGGAAGGAGGTCTCCTTCCGCATTCAACAGCTGTGGCTAGGGCTATGGCACAAGGCTCTGATGGCTCCCATGCTCCCCGTCAGTTGGGCCAAAGGGAGCCCTTCCTGGGAGTGGAGTCTGTGGAGGGGCCTGTGTTCCCCACAATCCCCATCTCCTGCCCTGGGCTCCCTCTCCCTTCTCCTCCACGTGACTGAACTGCTGACCCCTGGCCTGACAGGCACCAAGGCCCTGGCAGACGCCACTAGGTCGGTGCTGCTGAGCACATGTATTCAGACACACTATGTGTTAAAGGCAATAATAGCAACAAGCCAGCTGACCTGGCCAGTGACTGGGTGCCAAGCCCTGCAAAGGGCTTTAGTTAGGCAGGGCAGAGAACGGTCCTGAAACAAGGTTTGCCCCAAACTGGCCAAGCTGGACACTCTTTGTAAGCTTAGGCTTGCCTCGTGCCCTCTGTAGACTCTGGCCCACGGCGGCTCCTCCCTCATGGGCCGTCAGGAAGGTTCGTGAGGCGGTGCGAGGAAAGGCTCAGCAGCATCTGGCACTAGCAGAGCTTGACAGGCGTTAGCTGTTATGACGGCGTCGTTCAGTCCATGCAACAACCCTGGGAGGCATACCCATTTTTCAGGTTAAAAAACTAACACATGAAGCATAAGCTGACAGAGCTGAAAGGTGAACAGACAAATCCACAATCGCAGTTGGAGACCTCACCTCTCCTCTCAGTGACAGAGTGAACAGGCACAGAGCGGGGTTGCCATGAGACCACCGCCAGCACCTGGACCGCTGGTGCCCACAGAACCCCCACGTTCAGGAGCAGCACATTCCCTCAGGGGCACATGAAACACATACCGAGCACGCATTCTGGGCCATACGACAGATATTAAACTTAAAAGAATAAGAAAGCATAAAAGTATGTTATTAAACTGTAAGAGAATTACACTAGAAATCAATAACAGAAAGATACTTGACTACACTAATAAAAGAGAAAAATGGTAATTGGCGTACGACCGCTACCCTTCCCATTGGCTAATCAGCATATCCTTATGCAAATTAACTGTCAGCCAAGATGGC